TGTTTTAATTCACACCGCTCTATGGTTTTTGCAGTAAGGTATTTTCATACTTTTTCCCTTGTCTCCTCCAAACCGTTCTGCACTCATGCTGACAATGAATGTTAACTGTTGCTTCAAATATGGTTGACATCTTCCTCACACAGAGAATTCATGCTAGCTGCTGGCTATTTGATCTGAAATTAATGTTAGAGAGAATTTTCTTGCAACATGTGGAGGTTCCGGTGCACTATGGGTCATACTTTAGTGTTGATAGATACTTATGTCTCTACGAACATTTTGTCAGACATCCAGTAGAGGCCGCTTTGCCCTACCTCTTTGAGATCTCAAATTCTAAGGTGGTATTACATGTACTTCCCAATGGAAATAAGCATCCAAGATAAGTGAACTTCCCCACATCAAGTGCTATATAACTGAAAACAATGTTTGTTGGCATTTTGTGACATAGTCACAGTTTTGTTTCCAAGCTTATTTGATTGTGAGCCCAGAAAACATCACAGGGGCACAAGAAACAGTCAAGCAGAGTCTTTTGCTACTCTGTTGAAGATGCGCACAATGCAGTATCATCTGCATATAGAAGTTATCTAATGACAAAATGTGGTGTTTTAGTTCTTGCTCTGAATTTAGATCATCTGAAGAGGTTTACATCATCCCAGGTCAGAGGACTTTCTCCTGAGTGATTATCCAATTCTTCAAGGGCAGGCTTGAATACATAGGTTAAATAAATGCCAAAAGAGAGGACACGGCCTTGTTTCACACCTCGATTAATATTATTATGAAATCTGTTGATAGGTCACCATCATAGTGTTGCATTTTATTACGAAATGATTTGATAAGTGGTAGAAGGATGGCAGGGTAGCCAGCCTTATGCATGACCATAAAAGTAGCCTTTCAAAATCAAGATAGAGTGGCTGATTATTTTCTCTTGTAATTGTCTCAAATATCATGTTTGTTGTGAAGCGATTGGGCTGAAATCCACATTGAAACTCAGGATGTATAACCTCAGCTAGCTGGTGAAGGCAAATCGATAAGACACAGACCCGGACTTTCCTAGAGCTCATCAGTGAGATTCCTCTGTAATTGCAAACTTTACGGTCCCTTGTTCTTGGGGTGGTGTTCTTTGCATCCTTGAAATCTTGGTGAACATGCTTAAAGATATCATGTAGATATCCTGTCGAAGCAGGGGCTGAGGCCCGGAGAGTGGTGACTCCACCCACAGGTGGTGGAGTCCATATGGCAGAGGAATGGCCGAGCGGAAGTGCAGTTGTTCGTCTCCAAGGAGTCGACCCACTGTCCCCTCTTCGCCCTCAATCCTCCAGCTACTTTGGAGCATGACGCAAGGGTGCAGACATGGTCAAGGCTTTCCTCCAATAGTTTTGTTCTGCTTTTTTTATATAGAAATATCATGTGTAAATAATTTATAATTACAGTATGAGCATCATACATTATATATTGAATTTACTTGACCGCTAAACCAAGCTTGGTAAAATATAAGCAAACCAGTAAAGTAAAGTAAAGTAAAGTACTTTATTTTTATGAACGATATTTACAGCTTATCGAAATGCTCTGTTTGTCGTCTCCAAAGATAGAAGGAATTTACCTCTCATTCAGACAAAGTCAATCGGCAAACCCTTCTTTATACTGGCGGAGGTTGTTGAAGTGGGAATCCTTGAAGTGCTTCAGGTCACTACATCCAAAAACCGAACATTTTGACTTGCCCTCTCGTAACTTCTGCATCATTGAGCTTGGACTACAGCTCAGACTACAAAATCGGAGCGAGAAATAATAATGGCGGATTGCTCAAAGTGTTGGACCGGTAGTCAATGTCCTCATTTGACAGTTCCGCTGCAAATACGGTGACGTGATAGTTCAAAAAACGTCATAGAAAACAGAAAAATCTGAACAGGTTGAAAAATATGACCAAAACAGAATATAAAGATATAAACAAAGCACCTGAAGAGAATAATTTCATCTTTTAAAAAAGGGGATGTCCCCTTTAATTAATGATATCTGTTTACCCTAAAGGGGTTGTTGCTGCTCTCCCTGCTCTTATCCATGCAAAGCTGCATGGATGCACAGGGAGTTCTTGCCCAGAACAGAACCATACCGCCAATCCTAACTGTATGCAATTGCCAATCATATTTGACAATAGTGGTCCTGACAGAATTGTGAAAATTATACTCGGAATTGGTTTTAGTCATTAGACCAAAGCAGAATGACATGCAGGTCAGAAGAAAATGAAGGAAAATAAAGAACTGCTGTTATAAAAATACTCAAAAATGACCAAATCTGCAGTTTAAAAGCATTCTTAGGGGCAATAACATCTTGCAACAATGCATTTGTTATCCTCAAACCTGCAGCAGTACCAACAATGTCCACTAGATGACCATATAATGACTCTAAAAATGTCTGGGTGCATTTAGGACTGAACCTAGGACACCAGACTCCACTTTTGGCTGCTCGCCATATGCCCTTTATACAGTTTATTCATCCTTTTTAAATATTTTATTACCTCTCTATTTTTTGTGTGTATTATCTCTGTGGACTGAAGCCACACCCACAACACAATTTACAGGACAAGAAAGAAGCCTCAGTAGAAAAAGAACCTTACTAATTCACAAAACTGCAACTAGACAGGCTCCAGAACAGTGTTATTTTAATATTTTTCATATGTTATTAAAGTATAGAGTGCTGCAGCGATGGTGGATTTGTGTAGGCAGATCTAAAAGTTAGCATCATTCTTGGTTCATCAACAAAAACCCAAATGCTTTTTACACTTTTGGATTATTACAGAAAATAAGCTCTGTGACCAAAGTGTATTATTCTTTCAAGTTTCATTGTTAGAACATTTCAATGCAAATCAATGCAAATTAACCTAAAGAATATCGGCAGAAGTAAAAAGCTAAACGTAGACTCACGACTTCAACATCACCACCATTAAGCTTCCAACCCGATTACGACCCTTTTTAGTCTTTATTTCAATTTTTTCCCCTGATAGTTTGAGCTAGAATAATTTGCACCTGTTCAGAATCTGTTCGCCTGATGGCGTTTAATGTCCCAGACATCTTTTCAAGCCTTTTTAAAAATGAGTAAAAGCTTTAAAAAAAACACAAGAGGTGATTGCTGATGTCATAGAATAAAATGTGGAAATATCTTGAGCTTGTGTTAACCACAGACCTTATTTCAGACATTTAACCAAAAACCCATAAAAAAAAAAAATCGTCTGACTTCAGGGTGATGGAACCGGATATGCTAAAGTTGAACCTGTTTCTGCCTCTTGGCCTACAAAAATAAGTCATCCCTGCAGCACTAATAATTAGTAGTAGGCTACTTATAAAGTACATATTATTCTGCATGACATACATCTGCCGAAAACCTAAACTTAACCAAAAACTACCTTACTAACTAGTAATGAGCAGTAATAAGGAGTTTTTAGAGCAGTTAATAGTTAGAATTGGACCCTGATCTAAAGTGTGACCATAATTTTATTTCAGCTTCAGTTTTAGTGAAGGATAATAGCGCAGCTCCAGAAGAGGTCTGATTGTGGTTCGTTCATCTGTAAGGTTTAAATAAGAAAATGTAGGAAAATGGAATTTACATCACCTATTAAAATAACACATCTATATGATAGATACGTTGAACCAACAACAAGAACTCATCCTCTCCTTTCTTACAGTAATATTGTTTATCATGAAAATCATTTGGCAATCAAACAAAAAGGCTTTGTGTGTGTGTGTGTGTGTGTGTGTGTGACACATCGACCAACCCCCCAAATCACTCCTCCCCTACTTCCGTGGTGTTCAGTTAGTATCAGGGAGGGTCACCCCACATTCTGCTGCCAGATGGCCAAACCATAGTAGAGTCCCCTTGCTGTAATACTGAATCTGGAGGAGAGCCCTGGTCATTATACCACATCACAAGCGAATGACTGCGTATGTATGTGCTGACATGAGTCACAAGTGATTAGGGTTATGCACACACACAAGCACAAGCACAAAAAGACTGTGAATTGCATATTCGCTCTTAAAAATAATGGTTTAAATGGTTTAAAAAAAAATTTAAAAAAAATCACTAAGAATTGTATTTTTTATTTTTTTTCTAGGGAAATCAAAAATGGTTCTATTGAATCATTGCAAAAACACTCTTTTGGAACCTTTACTTTCGGGAATCATTTCCACTCAATACAAATCTAGTCTGTATAATCATCCATCCATTAGTCTAGAAAAAGGATTACTGTAGCTACAGTGAGGAGGCTGAGGAGCCAGAGGGCAAGAGAGATTCAAGCAAAGCGGGTGAAGGAGATAAAAGACAGGAGGGGGTGGAGAGCTATAGCGTATGCGGGGCGGAGGAAGGGGTCGGCTTTAGGTTGATGTGAATGGGTATTAAAGGCAGCATGCTAGAGAGGGGCAGAAAAAGACGGAGAGCAATCCAACCTGCCCCTGTAAGAACAGAACGATGGGGGCATAGTGAGCTTCTCAGGGCAAGCTGTCAAGGGTGGATTTTGCATTTCTGCAGTGAAATATTTGGCTGAAGGAAAAACAGCCTTCACTGGGGGAGAGAGAACACAAAAATGCTAGCATGAATTGATGTGTTTATGTGGAACTGAAATGAAAACTGGGAGGTAAGAACCATTTTTTGTACTTAAAACCACACATCTTGCTATACCACACCATTAAAAATAGACGTTCCAAATAGGTCGTGATAGAAGATGTCATGAGTGAACAGTTCCCAAAACATATTTTTAATTATCTCTTAAGAACGTCATAAAGAACCATAATTGAAAGTTCCATGAATGTAAAGGTTCTCACAGATTTCCTGTAAAGAACCTTTAGCGTGTACATCCCGTTCTGCGTTTGAATGCGTGGTTTTTCTGAAAGATACAAGTAACACTGAGACAGAGAAGAGGATGTGTCAACACAGTAAAGGGAAACACATTGTGTGAAGCAGAGGAAGTGATGTCTGAGGTTGAAACTGTGCTCTGCTAGCTTCACACCACTACACGTCATTGCTGGCTTGCATTCGCAAACATGCACACTCACACACATGCGCGCAGACCGCTGTTCTGACACAGACACCGAGCCACTGCAGATCTTTGCTGAGGATGTGCTCTAGATGATTGACAGAGATTATGGAGACAAAGAATATGAGAGAATGAGACAAATAGATTAAAAAAGGTAAGGATTTTTTTTTTCCCACATTTTGTCTCGATTGATAAAAAGGAGGTCTGGGATGTTTGATTTGCACTGAAGTTATTTCCGCAAGCGCTGCAGCTGATGGTGTACAAGGTGGCAAGGAAAATGCAAGATGCACTGTAGCGTCTCTATCAATCTCTTTCTCATTTGTTTGGTAGGATGGGGGGAAGGGTTGATCTCTGAGCTCTAGGGATACGTTGATAATAGATGAGAATGGAGGGAGTGGAATACAGAGCGATAAAAGAATAGGAAGAACATAAATATTAAGCATGCACAACAAAGGGTACGGCTGCATGGCATTTCATGGCAGCACTTGACCCTATGCAGTTGACGTACGTAAAATGTGGATAACTGCACAATGGCATCTTGCCTTGTCACATTTATTAGGCTGTAATGTGATGGTGCACTGAGTCCTTTCTCTTCCTCTGCCTTCTCAGGTGCTACAATAACACATGTGCTTGTTGGGTTCATTTGATTGTTTTTGCGCAGAATTAAATCATTACTTATAAATAATCTACAGTGTGTGAAGTTGGACCTGCTTCCAATGCATCAGAGTATATAAGGACCCTACATAAAAAAAATAAAAAAAAAACTATTTATAGAATTGCACATTATTACAATTAAATTAAAAATATATTATAGTCTAAATTTTAGGGCTGTCAAATGATTAATCGCATTCAAAATAAAAGTTTGTGTTTACATAATGTATGTGGGTGCACTGTGTACAATTATAAATACACACACATGCATGTATATTTAAGAAAAAAATTTATATATAATATAAATTATATATAAATCTATATACAGTATATACATGAAAATATTTCTTAAATATACAAGCATGTGTGTGTGTATTTATATATAAAAAAAAAATAACACAGTGCACCCACATATTTTATGTAAACACAAACTTTTATTTTGGATGCGATTCATCGTTTGACAGCCCTACTAAATTTATATTAAATGCAATTAGTTGAACTTAAAGCGTGGTACAATGCCCATTTTTACAATATGTAAAATAAGTGTCTGGTGTCCCCAGAATATGTTTGTGAAGTTTTAGCTCAAAATACCCCACAGCATCTTAAAACTGTCCCTTTTGAGCATCAGTAAAAACGTGTTGTTTTGTGTGTGTCCCTTTAAATGCAAATGAGCTCCAGCACAGAGGGCGGAGCTTCAAGAGCTCGTGTGTGTTAGCAGCAGCTCTGATTACCTTGCAGACACATACTAAAATGTCAGAGAAACTGTTCTGCTTTTTATGTTTAAACTGGAGTTGGACAATGATGGAGAGATTCAAGAAGAAATGACAACACGTAGAATGCAACAGGACGTTTCTGAATGGTTAGTTGATGAATTCATGCTGCTGATATGGAGTTAACTATCTTCAATTAGCATATTCTGTCATAATAATCTATACAATCGCTTGTGTGGGAACTGTTGTAAGATGCTTACAGAGTGGCATGCTATTGCATTTGTGTTACGTACTGTATTGCGTACTGTATTACATGATGGATGCGACAGCTTGAGCAGACTCACAAATGTGCTCTACTACAACAACTCTTCCTCTTCTCAACATGGACTGCATGTTCCCAGGCCGGGGTTTATGTACATTTTAGGGTTAGCAATGTCACTTACCCAGAAGGAATGTCGTGTAGTTCCTACCAGGCGTTTGTTGTAGTCCTTAAAAAACGGTTTCCTTAAAAGCAAATATCTTTCTTTGCTTTGAACTTTGAGCGTTGTATCTTTGCAGATGTTGTTTATGCTCAAACAGCAACATTACACACTAGCCTAACTAAAGTTATAAAGGTGAAATCATAATCAACCATCCCTTTAAGTTGTGCTTTTTTTTACCCACTTAAATACGATTTAAATACATCTTTATATGCAATTTCATAATTATTGTCCTTGAAATATGGTTAAAGTATGCCGATGAATGTACTTGTAAACTACTGTCATTTCTATTGAAACTTGTTTGTTACGTATCTAAATATATTTTTAATTGCACATTTGTGGGCCTCATGATGAAGTTACAATTTATTACAATTAGAAAATATTAGTTCACTTTAAAAAAAACTTTTGCTGATAATTTACTCACCCCCATGTCATCCAAGATGTCCATATCTTTCTTTCTTCAGTCGAAAAGAAAGGTTTTTGATGAAAACATTCCAGGATTTTTCTCCATATAATGCACGTTACTGGTGAACAAACCGTTCTTCGGTGCAAACTGCAAACTGTTCAAAGGGCTTTAAACGATTCCAGACGACGAATAAGTGTCTTATCAAGCGAAACGATCGCTCTTTAGAAAAAAACAACAACAAATGTTAAGTTTTACAAGCTCAAACGGTCGCCTTGCTCTGTTCTGTGATGCGCGTTCGTGACTCTCCTATTCAAACTCGTTCATCAAAATGAACGAATCTTTTCCAATTCGTTCATTTCGTTCATTTAATGAACCAAATGACATGAAAAAGATTCGTTCATTTTGATAAACGAGTTCTATTTAAAATATTATTTTAAAAAAACTATTTAAAATGTATTATTAAAGTAAAACGGAATTAATTTGACCTTTAGAAAGTGCATTTTTAAAAGTGTAGCTACCCGAGTGTGTTTAGAAACATTCATTAACGTGTACACTCAAGTGGCGTATAAGGCTATTTCATTAATATATTATTGATTCGAAGTAGGCCTACACAATAGTATTCAATAGAATTAAGCATATTTTTTCGCAATAGCATCATTTTGGTTATGAAAAACTATGAAGGTTTTATCCTTTATCTGGGCTGCAGGATATAATGTCAGAATGTATCACTTTAATTGAAACATTTGGCACATTTGAAACAAGTTTTCTTATACTGCCATTTTCACTGGTGCTTACAGTTGCATATAGGGAATCTGGTTATTGTGGCTATTCAGCTGTGATGTTGAGATACAGAGGCAAGTGGAAGTGTACAACATAATGTGTATTTTCAGACTGGTCTTATTGTTTATAAATGCAGTATAGGTATTCGTATGTAATATATAATACATATTTAAAATACTATTTTGTACATTTGGGTAGATGATGAAACAAAAAAGTCCTGACAGCATCTACAATGTAAACAGTATTACTGATAAAAGGGAAATATTCATGAATCGTTTATATTTATATATCATATATATTTATATAGTTACATTTTTGCAGTTTTAAAGATACGTTAGATCCCTTAACCTTATCCCCAAACCTAAACAAAACCACATACAGTGAGTTTTTTGTTTGATGTTGTTTCAATACACCGGTATGAGAATTTAAAAATATATAATATAAAGATAAATGTAACAGACAGACAGGTGTAATCATAATGATTTATGGAATTATCCAAAAATGGCAACAAAAAAAAAAAGTTGTAAAAAAGTATACATGTGTGGCATTTAAAGCAAATAATGTTTATACAATTACAGAAATTGTGTTCATTTCAAGATTTGATAGTGTTGTTTTGTTTAAAATGATGCAATCTTTGAAACCATATAGCACCAGAAGTCACACAGAACAGAATGTAATGTTATAATGACAAAAGAAATGAGTCAACTGTGATAAATAAATGAGTCAACTGTGATAAATAAATGTGATTGAAAACATAATCTCAGTGATTTAATTCCATGAATTAAATATTCTTAGATTAAAATTAAGGTTAAAACGTTTAGATTGTCAATGTCAATATTTTACTTTGCAAACACACATAAATGTATATACGGTAATATACCACGTTGCCAATGTATTAGACACAGATACAGACTTATTTAAGGTCTGCATGTATATCTAAAAAAACATGACACACATTATCATGTCTGATGAAATATTTTTCAGGCGAATTATAATGCAAGAAAAACAAAACATCATTCAACATTAGTTTGTGTGGCATTTCCTTGGTGCAAAGAGCCTAAAATCAATACAAGCGCTGTGAGTGTCTGTGGGAAACTCGGAGCTTAATGTCACGCACACCAACTTCTGTGTGAAATAAAACCATCAAAGAGCAAAGAAATGCAAGATTATGCTGAAAATATGAAAACAAAAATGCAATGATCCATTTTGGCAAAGAGAAGCGAATTTCTTTGCTCAGACATACAGTATGAAAGTGTGAGGTAAGGAGAATGTATCCTTAAAGATTATTCAACTAGAAAAAAAGCCCAAAAAGTGGATGAATATACAATCTGTAATTTTTATTTTATTCCATTACACTTCCGCTGCCCTGCTCTAACTTGCAAGTGAAGCTAAATATAGTGTAATGTTAAAATGGAACACTTAAATATTAAATGCTTTGACCTAAATGATGGGAAGCTATGTCGATGTATATGCAGGTCCTAATGCATGTACCCTAAGAGCTAAGGAAGACAGATTGCATTATCATTAGAGAAGCTGCACATATATCCCACAATGTCTGATAATGCCCCCAAAATCTATCATCCTTTGCTGTGCTATACAGTATGACCATGGAATCATTCATTCAAGTGTTATTAAACCCTTCAAGCATAAGATAAAACTCAAATCGGGTGAACAAACACCCGAAACGCGCACACAGTGCTGCAGAGTTCTCTTTCGCACTTGCAAGGACAAAACTCACTGTAATGGTTGAAAAGTGTTATTTACATAAAGAATTGTGAGAAAATAGGATGTGTCAGATCCGAATCATGTGAGTCAGGTCTTAGTGACAGCAGCCTTATAAACATTAATGTTAATCTAAGAACAGAAGACTAAAGTAAATCACTCACTGCTCTTGACTGAATAACTTTTGTAGCTTTAATAATCCATATTCAGTTTATAATTTATATATGCAGTGTTTGATTAGCCTCAATTTCTGCATATTTACAGTTTTTTGTGCATTTTAGCAGGGCAAGTTACAATTTATGAACTGGCCCACATTTTTTAAAGCCTATTAAATGTTAAAATTGATAGCTTTCCATTTAATAGAGACATCAGTATCAGTATTAGTGATACAGGCCTTCATTCGTAT